TTTAGTTGACGAAAGACGAAACTAGGTTTCGCATTTCGTCAGCGCGAAACCTCAAGGTTTCGTCTAACAACTATATCCCATCATCTACAAACCCTTCGCTTTCATTATTTTCATTTTCTTCACTAGTCCCATCATCTACAAACCCTTCGCTTTCACCATTTTCATTTTCTTCACTTATGGTCACGGTTATACGATTTTTTATTGGTGTTTTGTTCTTTTTCTTATCCTGAATGTGTAATAAAAAAATTGTTGTTAATGACTGCATACATTAGTAGTTATATTTTCATTGGTGATATCAAACGTAAGTTTCCTTATAATAAGGAAGTACATAATCAATTCCTACTCCAGAATCAATAGACCTTATTTAAGGAAACTCCCATAAGTGTATATCCATTGTGGAATCGGAACGAATCACCTCACCACATATATGATGATGAAACGTATCGAAATCCCCTTTGCAGTATTGTTTTATAACGATTACACCCTTTCACACAGATTGTTCAACTATTTATGTAACTTTCATGATATCACTAGCGCTGAGATAGCTGAACACACTGCTTCCAATGTATCAAAACAATTAGCTCAGGCGACCTCACAAAGGTAACCTAGCGAAAGGGTCGGACTAGATTATATATCCTTTGCGGAATCGGAACGAACCACCCATGTCAAACATATGTAGCTTAAGCAACGTGAATCGTATCGAAATCTCCCTTGCGACATTGTTTCATAATGACAACACCCTTTCACTGCACCGAAACAATAGCTCGGGAGACCTCACAATGGCAACCTAGAGGAAAGGGGTTTGATTGTTAAAATATACCTACCTCTGACTGGGACCTAAGAGTTTTTTTACGGACTTGACGATCCTTTTTTTGGTTTCTCTTATATGCGACGTAGTTCATGATTTATGAATATGCAGATAGGCGACGAGAAAAATAAAAACTGGGTAGGGAGTCAATATTTCCGAATTCATATAAAATAGATTGTAGATCAACCTCGTGTAACCTATATCATATGATTTACATAGCGTCATAACGTTAAACTAGCATTGCTATAGGGATAATACAAAAATAATACTATATGGAATTATCTTCAAGGTCTCCATTTTTATACAATACTGTACTGGTTTAACGTAAATTATGGATGTCCCCATATTATTAGTGTTTTTATTATACCGGTATAATAGAAATGGTAGTATAATACCAGGTATAATACTGAGCTAGGTCAGCTATCGGTCAGCTATCATCGACTATCGACTTGTAGCCGGCTATAGCAGATAAATTACTTGATCAATTTCTTAATCAATTTTTCATTCAAACTTATAAACAAGTGCCAAATAATTATATTTTTAT